TGAAACCTCTTCGGTACGCTAATAAGTCATCTTGAGCGAGTAGTCTGCTGATTGACAAAGGGTATAAGTAAAAAAGCTCGGGGTTTGCACTGCACACTCTTCGTCTCACTTAGCCATCTTCGTCCTTTGTTTTTCCTGTTGCTGTCTTTTCTTATACTGGGAGTTCTGTCCAAGCCACTTTGCTGCTCTGTGCTGTGCTGGCTCTCGTGTGGTCGTGTCGCCGTGTGTGTGGGGTGTCGAGATCGCTAGAGAGTCATGAGTGTAGCATGATGTGTGTGTGTACGATGATAAGTTGTGTGTGTTTTGAAAGCAAAGTCGCAGTGTATTATTTAGGAGTGTAAAAAGAAGTCCTTCCTGAAGGGACAGAGTTCCCATATACACAGCCCTCACCTGCGATTTTCTAGTAATCCGACTACAGGACACGAGCAACACTAGCCAATATCCGTGAACCTCTTCGAGCGGCAAGATACAAAGAGGAGAATCTACCGGTGGAGAACCAAAGGACACGCTTGAGTCGAATAAAACGAATACAAAGAATTAAACGTCTTACGTAAATAATACTAACTCCGAGTACACAGACACTATGGCGATACCGTTTTCGGATTTCTGTGAGTAGAGTGTAGAAGAAAGTACAGATGCAGAGAGGTCAGAAAAAGTAGTGGAGGCACAGATGTATGAGTAGTGGATTGAATCGGGTATGAGAGTATAGAATAGAGAAGGGGTATGCGGGGAGAGATAAGCACAATGAAAAGATGAGCGATAGGAAGTATTGGGGGGCCTGAAAATAACCTTTTACTGAGCATTATAGCCATGTGCTGGTCCTATAACTTAGGAATATTGAAGAGGAATGGTGATAACTTCAAAAAAAGAGGAAGGTTTTAAAGTCAAGATTGGCCTGAATTGCAAGATAAGATCGATGTGTAGTATTAGAGTGACTCAGATCCCTAGACAAGTCACGTCAGTACTCGGGGGTCGCTTGTGTGTATCCCTATATGCCTAGGCTAATTATTAATTGTATGTATACTAGGAGAGAGTAGTGGTTTTTATCGAGTAAAAGGAAAAGGTAGGATGAGAGAGAGGAGCAGAGAGTAGTATACGAAGGCCCACCGTAAGGACAAAGAAGCTAAAAGATGCCATGATTAAGAATTCTGAGACGAGTAATTAAAAAGACAGAGAAAGACGAAATTATATCGCAAACGGAAGGGTATAACTAGACGAAATAACTTAAGTTGTCATAAAGATAGAGATAGATCTCGGAAAACGGGAACTGACATTGTACCACCCACAAACAGAATCGGAAGGCACGAATTAACTATAGGTTAACGCGATCACGACGGTAATCTACCCACGAATTTTTGTTCACAGTCACTCACTATGAATGTAAACAGTATTTAAATGCCAAGTTGAAAGCAGTGAGAACAAAGTTAACGACGACGGAGTTTAATCAAGACACACAGACGAACAGCGACGAACAGGGGTCAACTGAGAACCATACTACTAAAATATAGAGAAAGAGAAAGAAGACAGCAAAGACTTGAAAGCCATGGGATAATATTCGTGACTGGTCTGATCTCAATGAAACCAGAGGAAAAAGATTCTAGTTAACTTATAAGGGGAGAGATAGGGTAACGAGACAAGCCTGACGGAGCAGTATAAGCAAGACAGAAAGCAACTTTCCGTCGTGAGAGAGAGAATGAAAACCAGCGAAAGATTGGAAAAAGCAGAGCACGAGTAAGGTAAACGACCAAGAATTATTGCTCCACAGAAACATTTCGAAACAGCACACACCTCCACCAGCAAACTTAAGTTCTCTGTTGCTAATTACGGATTTTACCCAAACTTAATTCTGTGTAACTTTTCTCCAACAGCCGTAGAAATAATCATGAAATATGCAAATATCAAATGACGTATCATATGCTAATCCAATACTTATACACGAAAGTTGCATATGATCTCAGATAATCCTTTTTGGAATATGATTAATTTACTTATGTTATTACAGGGTAAAGCATGATTGAATTAAGGATTATTAATACACTGTAATTAAATTTTAACCTCCACGGAGTCAATACGTAGATGGTTGTACAATGTTCCTGTCTGTTTCGACGAGACACTGTATCACTGTACCTGCATTTAGGAGATAAGTTTACTATGTCCTTCATTCGTTAAATAAATGTCTGCAGAATCTGTATAGAACTGATAAGAATTCGCCATAAAGCAGTTACAGACGCCATTACAGCTGCGAAAAAAATGAAAATTATTTGATCTGTACGCATCGTTCAGTAAGGCCCGTGATGGAGTTTATCGTTTAAAATTGTTTCAAAGTGGTTATTGGTAATGTGGTAATTTTGTTTTCATAAGAGTTAAAGAGTACGTTTTTTTATTTTTTTTTAGCGTGTGTTTTTTTTTTTTTTTGTATAAATATTTGGTTTGTTGGGTTGACCGTTTTAAGTTTCGATTAAGTTATAGTTTAATTTTAATGTCTGTAAATACTCGTTTTATATATGTTGGTTATGTGTCGGGCGTAAATTATTTTTTATGTAGGTTTTTTTATTATATTATGGTTGCTTTCTCATGTCGTATTACTTTATAATTAGTAGTTAATAGTTTTTATTTTTTTTCTTATTGTATAAAAGTTAAAATCGATGTATTTTTTGTGTGTTAAAGTTTAGGTTTATGTAGAGCGTTACGTATTGTATTTCTTTAATGGTGTGTTTATACGGTTAAATATTTAATGCGTGATTGTATGAATGTAATAGTATACGTCTTATCTACCCTAACCAAATTTATTTTTCTATTCATCAATCTATCTGTCAGTACGTACATACATATGTGTATGTGTCTGTGTGTCTGTGAGTGTGTGTGTATGTATGTGTGTGTGTGTGTTGTGTATGAGTGTGTTGTGTATGTGTGTGTGTGTTTGCGTGTGTGTGGGTGCTGGTAGAAAACACTGGACTTATATGTATCCGGTTGTATGATGACAAAGAATATGCATTAAGTCAAAGCTAATCAGAGTTATTGGCCAAAACAGAATATGAAAATAATCAGAAAAAATGATAAAAAACGATAACAATGGATATGATAAAAGGTGTAGGAGAAGAGATTTTCGAATTTTCGATTTTCTGAACAGCACTTAACAGGGTGCGTAAAGAGAGAATACAGGGCCCTAGAGGAAATAGACCAGTTTAAGAAAAAATGTGATAGAGCAAAATTTACAAAGAGTGTAAAATCTACAGCCTAAAAAGATAATCTATATTAGTTAATAGACCCAAAGTGAAGGCAGAGAATATGATATAATCACCATATTTACCTTTTGATCCGATTATAAGGAAAATTATTAATTTTTTTAGAGATATTAGTAATATATATAATATATAATATATATGTTTTATATACTATATATACATATATATATATATATATAATATAATATATATATATATATATATATATAATATATATATATACATATATATATGTATATAACTATATATATATATATATATATATATATATATATATATATATATATATATATACATTTATATATATATATATATATATATATATATATATATATATATATTATATATATAATATATATAATATATATATATATATATATATATATATTATATATATATACATATATATTATATATTATATATTATATATATATATATATATATATATATATATATATATATATAATATATAATATATATATATATTATATATATATAACAATATTATATATATTATATATATATATATATATATATATATATATATATATTATAATACATATACATATATATTAATACATACATGCATATGCACACACACACACACACACACACTCACAAACACACACACACACACCACACACACACACAGCACACACACACNTGTGTGTGTGTGTGTGTGTATACACACACACACACACACACACACACACACACACACACACACACACACACACACACACACACACACACATATATATATATATATATATTATATATATATATATATATATATATATTATTTATATATCTTATTTTATCTTTCAGCCTAAAATCTGCTGTTAGACATAGGCCTTCCCCAGTCTGCACCACCTCGTCAAGGTATGGTTTGTAGCAAAGGAGGAAAATGGAAAATTTTACAACACGCTGTGAAAAACATTGGGAGTATTCTTTACACGCACACACACACACACATATGTGTTGTTTGTATATATATATATATATATATATATATATATATATATATATATATATATATATATATATATATATTCTCTCATCCTCCCAAAATCAGTTGGACACAGTCCTTCCCCAGCCTTTTCCACGTCGTTCTGTATCTAGCCTTCCGGTACCAATGTTTCTGAAACGTCGAGGTTATCCCTCCAGCGGGTTTTCTGTCGTCCCCGATCTCTGGTGTGTTATGCGTGTCGTCCATTCCTTGCCGATTCTCCTCGACACGTGCCTGCCCAGTTCCATTTTAGCTTACTTATTGTCCCTAGAATATCACGCACTTTGTTCACGTATCCACTTAGCTTTTGTTCAGGTGATATTATGCATAATTTTTCGTGTGCGCGCCGCATTGATCGTAATTTCAACATTCGCTTCGTTGTAAGATTCCACGTTTCTGCGCCATATGCGACTGTTGGTAAGATCTTAATAGCACACTGGCATATTCTATATCACATTGGAACAATCTTCGAATACAGAACTGGCTCTCCCATGGTCATTCGACGCTTGGCCTCTTGTTCCTCTGATGCGGACCTCAACGAGATGCGCTGGCCTAGATAAATATAATGGACAATTTCGTCAATAACTGTCTCGTTACGGTAACAGTTTTATCTGGATCTTCATTCACATAATCGTTTTTCATGATTTTGGTTTTCGTAAGATTCAAGGTGAGGCTTACTTTCTAATTACCTTCGTTGAGGTCATTTAGTATTCGTTGTAGTTCTTCGGCAGCGTTCGCAAATGTGATTATATCATCAGCAAACTTAAGATGCTGAGGTATTCGTCATCAACATTCATTCCTTTATCATCCCAGTTGTTTTCTGCGAAAGACCCTTTCTGGGCAGGTGGAGTCAGATGTAGCAAATGGCATAGTTATAAATTTGTTCTTTTAATACACAAACACACACACACACATATGTGCATATATATATATATATATATATATATATATAATATATATATATATATATATACATATACACACATGTGCATATATGGATATTTGAGACATGCTCGCATGTCTGTAAGTATGCGTGTGATGATATTCAGAATGCATCCAAAGCGGGCATAATACGTACCTAAGGAAGCAGCCGTGCAGTGGGCCAGCATGAAGCCAGAATTGAGTCCTCCTTCTCTTACCAGGAAGGCCGGAAGCTCACTCAAGGCTGTAAATATGGCTTAGTTAACAATCCACATGATGAATATATAGAGATTATGGTGATTATCCTCATATTCATTATTAGTATTCTCATCATCATCATCATCATCATCATCATCATCATCATTATCATCATCATCATCATCACCATCACCATCACCATCACCATCATCATCATCAGTATCATTATTATAAAGATTATTATTATTATCATCATTATTATATATAAGAAAGATTGATTCAACGCCATGAACATAATGAATAAAAATAGCACAGCAGGTGCAGCTGAAGCCGAGCAGACGCACTGACCAGGGTTGACGAGGCGCTCAATCCTGCGCTCGGACATGGACGCGATCTCGTGGATGCCGATGGCCAGGTAGTCGCAGGCTTTGGCCGGGTATTCGCCGTGGAAGTTGCCGGCGCTGATGATCTCCTCTCGCTCCGACAGCACGAGCTGGCGGGACCAAGGTCTATATAAGTATTTAGACCTTAGGCGGGAGACTTCCATAACATCAAGAATGGTAACAAATAAAAAGTTTCATCGTGATTATCACCATAATAATAATAATTACTCAGTTCCTACCATCGCTATTACTGTCATTATTTTCGAAATCGTTAGCATAATTATCAACGATCATTAAGCACATTTTTTCATTTCCCCCAAGGCCGTATGCTTAGAGAAATTGTGATGCAAATAATTCTAGCCAAATTTTCTCATGCTTTTACGCGGCTGCAAGGCTGTGTTACATTAGTATAGTTTTCTTATCTGTTTGCATAATTTTGGCATACCAGCAGTTGATTTATTTCCTGGATTATTCCTTAGTAAGGGATTTTGTGTGTCAACGGATGTGTCCAATATTTTTTTTATGTATACGGCCGTTAGTGCTACTGTTTTGTTAGGATTACAACGATAATGATCGTAATAGTATTACAAATTACAACATTCCAGCGCACATGGTTACTTGTGCATTTTTTTTAGAGATAAACTATCTGTCTTATCCTTTACATACATACCTTATCCAATTACATACAAACACTTTCCCTCACAATTTGATTTTGCATATTTTTTAAATACATAAAACAATCTAACAGAAAATTAAGCATGTTTAATTTCGCAAGAGAGGTATTCTTATTCAAGAAACAAAAGAAAAAGTGAAATGAAGTTGGAGCCATATTCATATCCAAATTCATAAACCGAAATTGGATCTCGCGAGCCAACCGCATGCTGCCGGGCGGCCCTGCTTCTTCCATCGCCCGATATTTCTCGCCCGCCTCAGCTGTCCAGCCAGGCTGAAGGCGCTGTTATAAGCAGTGCAATCATTCAGTATTGCTATTATCGTCACCTAATGAAAATAATCATTAGCAAAATTGAAAACAAAGTAAAAGAAAAGAAACAATGCAAAGCCCATGGCCGTGAGACAGACGTACCGGATTGTCGGTCGCGGAGTTCAGTTCGTCCGTGAGAATGCCTCGCACGAACTTCAGAGTGTCGTGCACTACGCCGTGAACCTGCGGACAGCATCGCAGCGTGTACGCATCCTGCACGCGGTCACAGAATCTGTGCGATTCTGGGGACAAGGTCACCGTGTCATCCAAAGCATCTCTTTCACAAACCATTAGAAAGGAAGGTGAATACAGAAGTAGATGCACACACACACACACACGTATAAATAATTGAATAAATAAACACACACACACATACATATATATACGCGCGTGTGTGTGTGTGTGCATATATATGTATTCATCTATAGATAGATAGATAGATAATGGAGAGGAAGATAGGTATAGATAGAGAGATTCTCAGGAAGATGATATATAATCAAAGCCAGGTCTTGTCTTCAGAGCATCCATAAAGCTCGGTCGTGATATCATTAGCGTTTCTCCATATCTGCATAACGTGAAAATTATAATTCACGAATCACAGATTTGACCCTTCATGTGAGCTACACAAATCGACGAATCATGCAAAATACTTCACTGCTTTACGGTGGAAACTATTTCATCGGCCAGAGAGCAAGTTGCTCTCTGGCTGTGATTTCCAACATTTAGTTAGATTTCGATTATTAAATGTTTCACCACAACAGG